GAGCGTCGGCACTGCCTCTGCTCCCGCTCCGCCTCAGCGGGCTCCGTTAGCGGGGCACGGACAGGACCAAGAACGCAGCAGCTGACATTACAAGGTAAAACTAGAAATTCTGCTGCTGTATTAGTCAGACGAAGTCGCCCTGTTCTCGCTAATCTGCACGTCTAAAAATAGAACTAAAGCAATTTTACACAAGATGCAAATTGCTTTCAAGTTCATTGGTCCACTGCTCCATGTTGTTAATAATCAATCACGCTTATTAACTGTCTGGCTTGGAGTGTGAGGCAACTCCCTGCAATGGGCCCCGGCGGCAGCCGCCCCTGCTCCTCCTCAGCAGGCCGGCCACTGCCCCGTGACCTTCGCGCCATCGCCAGGGACGGGCCACTGGCAACATCCTCACAGCTCAAGTCGTCCCTGCGTTTCTGCAAACAGTTAATGCTTCCAGACGTCCCTTTCAGCATAAGCAAAGTCCCAATGTAAGTCGCAGTGCTTCCGAAGTGTGTCTTGAGGTTTTCCGTTTGACAGCTCCACCGCTTTCCACCACCATATAAAGGCTCCATTTATCCAAACGTAAGTACAAGCACAAAGGGACTTTTTCCTGGGCCCAGAATTTTATGTTCTATATATAAAAAAGAGGTACTTCCTGAAAATTCAGTCTCGTTCCCCCTTACAGCTTAGGCTCCAAGCAGAAGAGACTTTAATTTTAACACCCCGTGAATGAAGTATGTAACGAAAAAGTATTCACCTTCTGCATTATAATCTAAATATGAAACTTAAATCTGCAAAAACAGGGACCTTAGTATGGATTTTCTAGTCTTACCTATTAACCTCTCATTGAGAAGGAAAACCTATACCCACTGAAACGATACTGAAGTGCTGCACCTCATTAATGTACATCATCAACAGATGGCTGACTTTACCTTTTTTTTAAACCAGAGATACTAAAAATGTGTGTAGAAACTACGTAATCATGGCTTTTAAACAGTAAAAGCACCATCCACTATTAACTCTTAAATCAAGAAGCCAACTATTCTATAATTACATAATTAAAACAATTTTGAAAATGTCTATTTTGAGGAAAAAAATCCCAAACCCTCATACTGATCTCTGTGGGCTGATTTGGCTACTGCTTTGTAGCCAAATACTACGCAATGCAAGGACTGCATCTCCTCCTACCATCTGTCCTTTTCTTTGTTACCTGCGTACTAGCTTTGTATGTAAAATTCCTAGCTGTTAGTTTTTTCAGGGAAAATAAATACAAACCATCGACACAAGTACTGTTTACAGAAATAATGAGAAAACATGACAGAACAATAAATGGTCATACAGAAGTTTTTAATGTTTGATTAAATCATCACAGTAATCAGAATTTTTACTGTAATGATATGCAGCTCTACCACACTATTATAAATAAAAACATTAAGATCAATATTAAATACAGGTCTAGGCAACATCACAGATTAACAAAGAATGCATTCTTCATGAACCAGTAACTGAATGGTTAAAAAAAAAAAAAAGAAAAAAAAACGCTGACACTTTTCCCCCTCCCATCTACCACATTTTTGAAACAGATTAGTAACTTGAGTAAGGCGCTGGAAGTTTCACGTTAGAAAACTGTTGTTGCACAGCACAGGCACGCATACTTCATTATCAGAACCTCTAATGCATGTTTACAAGAGGACGTTTCAAATTGCAATGGGGAAAGCTTAGCAGGTAGGAAGAGCAGACAGAGATGCACAATTTATATGCAGCACTTGGGATCCACGCTGGAATTACAAAACACAGCAGGGGTGTGAACTGTACTTTAATTCAGACAGTAGTCTGCAAAATTAGGTACAAGTTAATACCATACACACTGCAGTGTTTTATGGGAACATCAGAAAGGGCAGAGGCTTCAAACCGATTTAAAGCAATTTTTATACGTGGAGTGCATTTGTATTCTCCCACTGTAGAAAAAAAATGTGACAACAGAAATCTGCATCACAGCCAGCTTCCAGAGCTGCCTTCTATAAATGGGCCAAATCCTGCTGTTTGTGAAGTTTCTTCTGTAAAGCCTCTTCAGGCTTACCACAGTGCAACAGAACAAACTGTGAACTGCTAGCATGGACTCCGTGTGGAAGAACACAGCGAGTTGCTGCAACACTCCTGTGTTAACACAGCCCGAGGCCCTGTTTCAGTTCCAACTCATTTTTAATACAGGGGCTGATCCCCCTGAGCCCACTAGCATCTTTTGCTTTCTGCTGCTTCCAGTTGCTGCAAGACAGATGATGAGATGCAGATAGCAGTCTTGTACCTTGAAAAATCACTAAAAATTCAGCAGAGCACTGAAGCACAGGCATCATTTTGGAGCCTGCCAGAACTACCAGATTTTTGTTTCAGAATGTTAGTGTACCTAAGATAAAATCATACTGAGTACTTTGTGAATAAAGACGTCTGAGGTAACTGTGATGAATGCCTTAAGAGATACCTACAATTATTACTTTAGACTTTTACCATTTACATTTTTGCAATCTTGTGGGCACAATTGTTGAAACAAGGAAATTTTATGTAACCCTGTGTTATAAAGCATGATTTTTGTCAGCCAGATGTCTTAAATTTTTTTCCTCCCAACTTGAGGCTTGCAGCATATTGCCTTTTCTCCTCTGCATTTGTTTGTGGTGGTGCTGGTTTGATAAAATGAGTATGAAACAAATTAATCTAGTGACTGGAA